AAGATTGCAAGGTGGTCCAGGTACTAACTCCTATGTATGTGTTTCAAGTATCAAATGATTTAACCAGGCATATTTATTATTAAGCATTCAGGAATGTATCTTAAGGCAAGATATTTTTGAGACACCAAGATAATACTGTAAAGCAATTATCCTCCAGTTAAAAATAAATATTTTAAAAAGCCGAAACAAAAAAAGATATTTTGGGGTCTTATTACTGTAATATCTACAAATTAAACATATATCTTCTAACACATTAACAATAATTTAGCAAACTTAAAATGTTCTCGCCTACTGATTTTTTTTTTCTGAATTCTGAATGAAGCTGGAAAGAATTTCTTATAAACCTCTTAAAATCTTAATTATTCAAGGTGTAAGCTTATATTTATCAGTATTAGGAAAATCAGATTTATTTTTTGCAATTAAACAATAAGTATGCTTTAACTGTGATAACAACAGGTAAACACTAGTATTTCATATAATATGACTGGGAATTCTTCAATCAACTAACAGTCAAGTTAGTCACCAAAATTAAGCGCCATCTGAGCATGCGGTGTGCACACAGTACATATAAAATTTTATTTCAGAAATTCCTCTTTAAAAATTATTAAATTAACATACAGTATAAATTAAGATGCAACTCTCTAAATACAATGTATTGATAAATGACAAACTATTTGAAAGCTTAATGGTATATTTTAGCTGTGAGAATTCTGACAAAGATTACTATTTTTTCCCCAACATCAACTTCCCACTTGTTTCATTGTTAAGTTTAAGAGAGTATATTCTGCTATTGTACTAGTTATTGAAAATGTCAGCTCAAAAAGTAAATTTGCATTTAATATAATAACTGTACTATTCTTCATTCTAGTAAAAGGAATGAACGAAACAGTTAAAACTAAATCCAAAGCAAAGGAGCGAAAAACCTTATATTATCCTTAAGTGGGCATTATATATTCCTTATTATTTTTAATAAACTTTATGAAATATGCATACATGGACGATTATACTAAGGAAGATCTTAACTTACTTAAAAAGTATTATAAAATGGTTATTTCCGTGGAAGTAACAAAAAATGTATCATACTTCTGTGGTATCCAGAATATGGCGTCACATTTAAAGGTAAATTTTACAAAGCTTTTATTCCCAATAATGTACATGCATAGCATCAACAAAAACAATTAGACTTATAATGGACCAGATGAAGCCCGAGTATTAGGACACAGTCTAGGATACAAAAACCTGACATACTTCTGTTTCCATGCAACCACTTTTTACTTTAAATATTTAAAGTTCCTGCAATAAATTCTTCAAAGGTCTCCACCACTTTGTCATACATTATAATTTTTTCTTTCAAAACAGTCATGGTACAAATCCCCAAAATCTTTAATAATAAGCCAATATGCTCTTAAAATGTGATCAAAAGAAAATACCTAAAGCTTCAACTGATTCTCCAAATAACAAGGAGAATGGAAATATATTAATTTTCTACAGGGCAATGGATGTTACTAGTCAACAAAAAAGGTAAATTTTTCATTAACCGAGATTATTCAATTTTGTTAATTCTCAAACAAGGCAAGATATATTCACTGGATATAGCAAATTACTTATTAGCTATATAAGCTCACTAAATTTCCTTGTATCGGCTACAGTATTCCTAAGGATTTCTGTCATGTTTGCTACATCCATAATTAGCAGGAAGAGTGAAATAAAAATCTACAATGCCTCAATGTTTTTATTATTATTATTATCACTGATTTACTCACACATAATAGGAAATCACCAGAGCCAAGAAAAACAAAATTTTTCTAATACCAGGCTGGCATATTAACTTTTATGCAAGCTGCTAAAAATAATAAAATTAAAAGGAGAAACCTTCCAATGGTTCTTTGGTATTTTCTTTCATGACCTGATTTCCCAATAACTAATACCCAAACAGAAATAAAGTAGGTTGACCTTGCAGATATATATAAACTCTCAAGAGAATCCTGCTGCTCACTCAGTCGTGTCCAACTCTTTGTGACCCCATGGACTGCAGCCACCAGGCTCCTCTGTCCGTGGGATTCTCGAGGCAAGAATACTGGAGTGGGTTGCCATTTCCTTCTCCAAAAAGAATCCTAACATGCACAATAATACCTACAAGGAGAATATAATTTTTAAAACTTAACGAAAAGGCAGCATTTAATGTTTCAAGTACTTGAAAGTGGAGGAAAAAGGATACCCCTGAATCTAAGAGACACTTTTACTGGCTCTTAGGCTAGACTAGAAGCAGTTTTTTAAGGTCTTCTGGAAAACATCAGCTCCCATCCAAATAGAGAAAGTAAATCCTATGCATCTTTTCTCTCACTATTCCTTCTTAAAACCCACACATAAATTCTGACATGTCATAATCTGGTATGGTTTACAGGGAAATTTTTCAAAAAAGTGAAAATCTCTAAGTATTTCATTGTGTGCACACTTCTCTAACAAAACAGCCTAGCATTTCCTACGTGACTAATCTTTTTAAAATTCTGTTTCACTGTTCCTATGCTATCTAATATTATCTATTAAAACTGCCAAAATATTTTAAAACAAGATCTGAGTATCTCCCTCTCAGCTCTGATCTTTGCACTCCTTAAGTTTGCAGACATGTCACGGGCAAATCAACTGGTAGTGACAGGTTACTCCAAATCAACTCTGAAGGAAATTTAAAATTGACAGCTACCCCCAAATCTTCCCTGCCTCCCGAATCTCTCTGAGTGAGGAATTAAGTATATGCAAGTCAACGATTCCTCCTGATCACCAGCTGCAAAACTTGGTCTGCAGAACCTATAAATGCATATTTCAACTCAATTATCCTTTCGCTCAAGATCTTACAAAATTTAGAATCACTCGAAGTGTCCTTTCACATTTTGAGCCTCGTGAACCGCGAAGTTGCAGTCCCAAAGCATTCGACTGCACTCGCACCGTTTCCCCATTAATAAGGTTACAGACTTCTGTATCCAAGGCTTGTATGTCCCACATGTGTTGGCAAATTCCACACTCGGCCTTTGCAAGCACAAATGAGTCTCTCGCTTCCAGCTCACCTCGGTGCCAAGTTTCTGTAAGCCACTTTCAAGCAAAACTCTCCTTCCGCCTTTAAAAGAAAACGACTACATTCCATAGGAGAGGACACTCAGGACGAAAATTAAGACTCTAAAGTAAACAAACCAACAAAAAGACTCTGCCTCTGCGGAAAGACGCTGCAAAACTCCGGGGCCGGCGAGCGCTCCCACCGCGCACAACCCACAAGCGCTCCGCGCCGCGCGCGACGGCCAAAGCCGGGTGGGAAGAGTGGACGCCGCACCCCCGGCTTTCTGGGAGCGGAACGCACAGGTCGGCCCCGCGGCCCGGCTCGCCCTCTGCTCGCTGCCCCTGCGCACCGATTCTCTCCGGGAATCGTCCACGAGAGCCCGAGGCCGCCCTCTCCTTCCGGCGGCGGCCGCGCGGGGCCCGCAGCCCTGGACGCCCGCCCCCCAAGTGCCGGCGCAGCCCGGAGGCTTCGCCGTCCCAAGTTCGCCCGACCACCGAGGCATCTGGCACTTGGCGGACAGCTAGTCGGTACGTACGCGGCCAGCTGCTGCAGCGGTCTTGGCGCGCTCTCCCCAGAGGACGCCTCAGCCCCAACTCCGAAGTGACGGCCCCGGGCTCGATCTCCTCAGTCGGCTGCGGCGGCCGGGACGCCCCCGCTCCCATCGAGGGGGGGGGAAGGGAAAGTGGTGGGCGCGTTCTCCCTACTCCCCCCTCCAGCTCGGGCCCGCGGCTCCTTCCCGCCCGCGAGCCCCGACGGCACTCGCTCGGCCGCGGCGGCGGCGGCGGCGGCGGCGGCGTCTCCTCCCGACTCGGGCGCGCGGGCGGCTGGGGCGGCGGCACCTCCCCCGCCGCGCCCTCCCCCCACTCCCCGCCCCGCCCCTCGCGCGCTCCCCCTCCCCTCCCCTCCCCTCCCCCGCCCGCCTCCGCCGCCTCCGCCCCCCGCGCGCTGTCACACGGGGAGATTCCGCTCTTGCTACATGCGCCGCTCCGGCTCCCGCCCACGCGCGGCCGAGTGACGCAGATCCCGGCGTGGGCCGCCGCGGGGCGGGGGCGGGGGCGGCGGCCGCCGGGGCCCGGGCTCGGCCTCTTCCCACCGCCCCCGCCCCGCGGAACCCGGAGGGCGGCCCATTCACGCGGCAGCTGGGAGGAACCAAACGGGCGCCTGGGAGGGGGCGGCTCCCGCGAGCCCAGCGCGGGGTGAGGGGCGGGGGGAAGGGGCGGGAAGGAAGAAAACGGGGGTGGCGGGCAGGAGAGAGGGGAGGCCGCCTCGGGCCTGCTTGCCAGCTGCCGAGTGAACTGGGAAGGTTTGCAATTTAAAAAAAAAAAAAAAGGTTTAATGTGTGAGGTTCCCAATATAGTATTTCAAAGAGCACGCCCCGCCAAATCCAGCATCCCCCGGGAGGCTGACGTTAAAAGAAATGGCACGCTCGGCCCACTAATCTGGGCGCCTGGCTCGCCCCGCCCCCGCCGGCCCGAGGCAGGGGGCCAGGTGCCGCCCGCAGCCCCCGCCCCCCGTCGGCCGGCCCCCGGGTCCAGCGGGAAGTTGGTCGCGGCCGCGAAGCCGGGGGTGAGGGGGGAGGGCTGGCAGGTGCGCGGGCCTGGAAGAGAAACTGGCAGTTGTTGTGAATCTCTGCTTCGCCCATCTTGCCCCCTCCCCACCACCGCCCTGGCACAGGAATGTGGGAAGGAATGGGAACCCACGAATCCGAAGTGCGACTTTGACAACTGTCTGGCTTGCTGGGCAGCTTCAGTCCAACCTGTCAACTCTCCTGAAAACCTGCCTATTATTTCACTGGTTAATATTTTCGATTTCCATGTTGTAAAAATCCGACGGCGCTAGAACAGCCCTGGGATGTCTTAAAATTGAGCTCCCAGGGCACGCTGTAGGATTTTTGAATTTGGTTTGCGTGAACTTTTTCTAACCAAAGGAAGGTATTAAAACACCTCCAAAAATGTACTTAAACTATTGCCAAAAAATTCAGAAATTTGTTTTAGAATCTATTTTTCCTTTCTTTGCAAAAATGGGACAAGGGAAGAATTCCTCGAATTTTAGGATTGTGTTCTTGAAGGCTGGAGAGCGTTCAGTAGACTGCAAATACAGGTAAAATTCCGTTTTAATGTTCATATACAAACTCGGTTTTATAGGAGGCCATTCCCACATCCTGGCTGGCCTCCCAGAGTGTGCCTACTTTGCTGATGGCTATACAAGGCATTCTTTGAGATGGGAAATTCTTCATACCACATCTTTATGTTGCAGCAATGGATGGGCTGATAACATTGAAAGAAAAAGACCTTATTAAAGTACTAAACCTTTTTCTTTTTGCAAAAGCATATTATAGGAATGAGTAATGATACAATGGAATATATATAATTAAATCTCCTTTATTAGTGGAAGGTTCTGTCTGGAATAGTTGTGTTAGTGTATCATATGAATAAGCATGCTTCCTTACATTTTTCTTCAACTGAAGAATCGCTACTGGAAGTGTGTCTTAGCCTCATTGTCTCAGATTTGCAGTTTTGGACCGTGTTCCAAAGAGAAAGTTAACTTGGGTTGTAATAAAAACAACTTCATGGAAAGATACAGGTAAAGTTATAGGTTAAATTTGTTCAGTTTTCAAATGAACAAAGAAATGTGCATGATTATTTTCTTCCAGTTCCTCTCTAGAATCTTGATGTTTTACACACATTACTAGTTCTGAACAGCTAGAGAAAAATGATTTACTTCCCTAAAGGTGTATAATCAGTGATTCATCAGTCATGAAATGAGTAGTCTTACCTGAACTGTTGAGCCTCCCAGTAGAATTGTTTCCAGAGTTGGAAGAAATGACATGAAATCCTCTTCCCAAACTTGAATCTCTGGCCAGCATAGAACACAATGCTGAAAAGGAAATGTGTCAGGGCAGATACTTTTTCTTCTGACTTGTAACTGGTTATTTCTACAGTTAAACATGGAAGTCTCTCCTTGTTTGTTTTCTGAGCACATTTAGATAGTATGTTCTTCCCACATTAAGAATGGCATTTTTGGCCCACTTTGCATTGCTTTAAACACCCATGATGCTGAGGGAAATGGTGGGAGGAAGGAAAATGAAGAAAAGAAAATATTTTAAGCTTTTAGCTTCCAATTCTGTATGTCTGTATGACAACACTGTAGTTAATATGGCTGCTCAAAAAGAGAGTTGAGACATTCACCTGTACCTGAGACAACTCAGATAAAGAAGCATCGATTCTAGATAAATTCATCTCCTTATCATTTTCATTGCTAGTGGCATTCTTGACATCTCCCTCACAAAGCATGGTCTTCTGCCATGCCCCAGTCCTGGTAGTTTGTTAAGGAAAAGCATTCCATCCCCTAAGGTAATAATTCTGGTTTTGGATTAGTCTATATTCCATTGTATTCTGGTTTTGTATTATTCTATATTCCATTCTATTCTGTAAGTGTGTTTTACACATCCGTTGAATTCAGTAAATGTATGTTTAATAGAATCTTAAAAAATGATTTTTAGAACGATTAGTGCATTTGCAAAAATAATGAATTTTTGGACAAAAAAATATTTCTGCATTGTGAAACTAAAAGTTTTGAATAAAAAATGATGTAGAAAGTTGATAGTGGTTCTGACATTAGAATGAAAATTTCCCTGGAAGAGCATTACTTTATTACTTTTAGAAAGATTCCTTTAAAATGCTTCAGTGATTCAAAACAAAAGAACAAATGATTTTACACGTTCTTAGAGGAGAGAAGGAATAACATGGCTTCTGACCGATAAGATCTGAGATATTGTATAATTTTGTCCTCTTTTTCTTCTGTGGTTGCTTAGAACAATTCCATTGTTGTTTAGTTGCTCAGTCATGTCTGCCTCTTTTGCAACCACATTTACTGTAGCCCGCCAGGCTACTCTGTCCATGTGATTTCCCAGGCAGGAATACTGGAGCGGGTTGCCATTTCCTTCTCCAGGGGATCTTACTGACCCAGGGGTCAAACCCTCAACTCTTGCACTGCAGGCAGATTCTTTACCTCTCAGCCCCCAGGGAAGCCCAGAACCATTCCATACCTAACTAATTTTCTACTCTATGTGGTGGTGGCCCCACAGTTAACTGAGTCGTGTGTTATAAGAAATATAATTTAAATTTCCCTTACTTTGCAATGTGAAATTTAAACTTTTGGATGTGTACGTTGATTAAATTGGTGTTTTTAATGTGTAGAGATTTGAGTATTTTAAAATATATGAAGATTATAAACAAGTTTTTTAAAGGTATGCTAATATATAACTGATTATTTTGAGTCATGACTTTAAAGACCCTTGCTGTTCTTAAACAAATCTTCATCACAGGCCAATATAGAATTTTAAGATGTAAAGGACTATGAAGTTCACCTAGTTCAACCACCTTTATACATTCAAAATATTTTCAAATAATTTTCAGAAATTCAACATACAACTAGTTTAGTTTCCAATATGTTGGTTATTTTGAACTCATATTGCAATTCTTGTTGGAAAAGAAAAGAAAATTGTTAGATTCCCAGAATGGGCTATAAGTCCTTATAGAATGCAAATGAAAACATCCAATTACACTCTTAGTGGGGAGCCAAGTAGGATCTTAGAAGTCATCTAATTCAATTGACTTCTACAGATAAGGACATTTATGCTATACATTGCTGATATAAAGAGCAGAAAAATACTAATATAATATTAGGCAGTAGATACAACCAAACATTTAATTGAGTAATTCTGGTTTTATTAACTATGCTCTAATATAAAAACTAAAAAACACTTGTATTCAGGGACAATAGTCCTCACATTTTACAAATAAAGAATTTTGGAATATGAGAGGAAAAAAGCATTAAATGTTAAAAAATAAACGCTAAAAGTTTGTCTTTAAGACAGAAGATAATGTAAATGGAAACTATTGAAAAGATAGCTACAGAGAATTTATGGACATTTTATAGGGATTAGTGCCCTCTTTGTCTTCCTCCTCGGTCCTCTCTGGCTGCAATGTGGGAGACCTGGGTTCAATCCCTGCGTTGGGAAGATCCCCTGGAGAAGGGACTGGCTACCCGTCCATGGACAGAGGCGCTTAGTGGGCTGCAGTCCATGGGGTCACAAAGAGACGGACACAACTGAGCGACTAACACTTCTTTCCCCTTCGCTGGCCTCCATTGTGTCGGCCCTGTATAGTTAACTGTTCCATGATAGTGTTTCAGGCCTCATCACACTACCTGCTGTCCACCCATTCCTGGCTGTTACAGACTGAATGCTTGTGTCCTTACCATATTCATGTATTGAAATGCCATCCTCTAGTGTGATGCTATTAGAAGGTGAGCCACGGGGGGATGATTAGGTCATGAGGGTGGGGCCCTCGTGAATGGGATTAGTGTTCTTATAAACAAGACTGCTGGGTGCTCTCTTGACCCTTCCATTATGTGAGGGCATTGTGAGAAGACAACCATATAGGAAGCCGGAAGTGGCCCATCAGCAGACACAGAATCATCTGCCAGTGTCTGGATCCTGTATTTCCCAGATTCCAGACTGTGAGAAATAAATGTTTGTCTGTTAAGCCAGCATGGTACTTTTTGTCATGGCAGCCTAATGGACTAAGGCCCTGGCCATTAATAACTCTCAGCTAACTACACAAGGCCAGGTGGAGAGTAGGTCAAGAAAATACTCTGCTCAGCCTCTGAAATTAATCCAGCCATCTTCCACTCTCACACTCCATTCTTGTTCTTGTTCCTCGCAGTCCCAAGTTTGGCTTTTACTCTTCTCTCCACGGTTTGCTGAGATTGACAGCAAGTCGGTGCTCATTTCCCACCTTGTCTCTTCAGGTCTACACTGCAGGTAAACGACCCACCAGTTCAAGTCCCCCTTTTAAAGCGCTCACCCTGAGAGTGGATGGAAGACTTTCTTTGTTCCCTTAACAAAGGTGTATGACTAGTTAACGAAGACATGGAGTAAAGCAATAGGAAAAGAGCATGTGAGAAAGAGAACTTTCTTGAAGTAAATGGGCAAGCGTTGAAAGAAAGTGGAAGGAGATGAGACAAAAAGAAGCTAAGTGCACTTGTGAGAAGTTAACTAAAGGGGACATAACTCTTGGAAGAAGTGAAAAACCAAGGAAAAAGTACCCAAATCCATAGCTCTCCTAAAGGAGAAAAAAGAAGAGACAGAAAAGTGATCACCCCAACATAAATTCCTCTAAGCTCACCACAAAGCTGCGCTCTTGACCTAGGACAGATGGCAGTGATGGATGGAGTATTGGGGCTAGATCTGCAGGAAGAAGGGGCAGAGAAAGAGCCGGTGTCCTGCTCTCCTGACTTGCAGAGAGCCTGTATGTTCATTCCCTTTAAGTTGGATTAGAAGAGGTGGTGAATGTATCAGACACAAGTGCGTATCAGGTAGAAGTGCATATCAGGAAAAGGAAAGAAAAGCAGAATGGGTTCAAAAAACACCCTCTGTGCCAAGTGCTTTCACTACACTGTGGTTCAGATATGAGGAAATCAAATGTGTTAATATTAATGAGTTGGGCTAATTGTCACAACAAATTACTCAACACTGCCTTCTAGGAGCAGATGCTTGGAAAGGACAATGCATGTATTGTACAATAAGAGACTTAGAGCTATTGACATAAAAGTAAATAATGTTCACATACAATTGCCAAGTTACAGTTTGGATTTATTGTTATCTTACTGGGATTTATACATCATGACTCATCAGCCTGCCCAGGATTGGCAATAGTATATGGGAGTCAAGAATGTTAAAACCTTGACTTCTTAATAATAGAAACTAGTGCTGCCTTTTTTTTCATCTTGTACTGTAGCAACAGTCTCTAATAGTGACAGAGTGTGAGTTTTTTCTGATCATAAATATATTTCTTAAATAAAATTTTCCAAATACTTCTGGTATTGGTAAGTTTAGGAGTTCTTATGTAAATTGCTGGTCAAAAGGTAAACAAGCATTAGAAGAGTAACTCAGCAAATTGAGCCAAGAGTTTCAAAGTAATCATACAAGTAGATCCAACAGATTCATTTCTAGGGTATTATCCAAGTTTATAAACATTTAAGAAGAAGATATTTATCACAACTTTATTTACAAAATTGAAAAACCAAGACACTTGAGGTGATGAATTGATTAAATTACAGTATATCGATGTGATGGAATACATTTAATTAATATTTAATAACCTTGGGAAATGATCATGATACAATAGTAGTAGTCAAAATAGGACAAAACTGAACAAACTATAATCACTCTAGCTAAATATGGAAGGAAATTTACCAAATCTTAGCAGCAGTTATCTCTAGATGATGGTATTATAGATCATCTTTTATCCTTCTATTAATCAGAACTTTCAACAATAAAGATGCATTAACTTTAAGAATCAGAGGGAACATTGCACTGTTATTTGTTTAAAAAAGATCTTGCTTCAAAAGCAGTTTACAATGAAATAAAAATGAAAACAAAATTCTATGTTTATCTATTTGAAAAGAGCAACAAAAATCAGGAACTTATTCAGGAACTTATTCAGTGAATATGTATGTATGGAGCACTTCATATGATGTTAGTTATCTATACTGAACTGTGTATATTGAGAGCCTACCATGTGTGAGGTGTGAATGTATGATATATGTTCTGAGCCACTGGGGAAGCCCAATCTGGTGTGTGTGTGTGTGTGTGTGTGTGTGTGTGTGTGTGTGTGGTGGTGGTGGTTTAGTCGCTAAGTTGTGCCCAACTCTTGTGACCCCATGGACTGTAGCCTGCCAGGCTCCTCTGTCTGTTGGATTCTCCAGGCAAGAATACTGGAGTGGGTTGCCATTTCCTTCTCGAGGAGATCTTCCCAACCCAGGAATCAAATCAAACCCAGTCTCCTGCATTGCAGGCAGATTCTTTACTAACTCAGCTAACGAGGGAAGCCATACACACACACGCACACACGCACAAATATACACCATTTATATAACATTAGGAGCAGCTTTAATCATGTTACAGTCATACCTCTTTTTCTGATTAATCATTAAGGCAGGTATAAACTTGTATCTTCTTGAAGGTGCCCCTACTCCCAGAATGGATGCAGTTCCGGGACTTTTGTAGTTCTTCCACTGGGCTTCCACAGCCAAATGGACAAAATTGGCTTCTGCGCAGCCTCTGGTGTCCCCGTGTCTCACTGCCCCTGTTCCGTTGCAGTGAACTGGGCCCTCCAGCCACATTGCTGGTGCAGTACTGCTGAGACCCTTCTGCAGACTGTGCTCCACTGGAAAGAGGAGCCCAGTCTCCCTAAGTCTGCCATTCGCAGAACTCCCCTCTTCCTTCATTTCACAAGCAAACCTCCCGAGAGTGCTGCCTCCACACTGACCTTGACCTTCTCCATGCTCAAAGCCAGTCCTGTCCCCATCCCAGGGATCACACTGGCAGTGTTGGCTCCCTTTCAGACTACTGTCTTGATATAACAGGTCTGAATTTTGTCTTACCGTGTCTTTTCTGGATTATATGCGTTTTGAGTCATTCTCCTCACGCCTGTCCTTCCAGCCTCTCAGATTGCCTAACAGCCGAGGTGCATTTGCGTAAGGACTATTGACATTGCTGAGAAGGTTCCCGTGGCAGGCTGCCCAGATGCTTCCGATCCAGATCCTCTGCGCACCAGGGTCGCTGCACAAGGCCCCTCTGTGTCCCCCCTGGTCGCCCTCCACGCCTCCTCACACATACTGTGGATGGGTAGGAGTTTTGAAGAACTGAATGCTCCACCTTCTCTATGCTAAGGTCAAGAAATAGGCAGGTTACTTATAAGGGGCATTTTTCACACAAGCATGGACACGCAGAAGCAGATGGACAGTGGGAGGGTGACTGGAGGCAGGACAAGATGTTATAAAGAAGTCAGAATAGTCTGGGTTTTCCACGCAGCAGGGCAGTCTGACAGCTAGGTGTCTTGTCCGAGGAAGAAAGGAGGACTCTGGTGAGACAGGTTCCCCACTGCCGGCTGGAGCAGCATGACCACTCCTTTCTCTGCACGGCCTACCCCCACCCTGAGTCTAGACATCATTCTGGCTCCCCCACTTGCCCCACCTTGCATTTCATTCCGCTTCCTTTGCTTGCTTTCACCATCACCACCCCCCACCCCATCTCAGGCTCCCAGGGTTCTCCTGAGGTCTGAGCTTGGTTTGTTTCCTGACAAGTGGATGGCTCAGTGGATATAGAATCCGCCAGCAATGCAGGAGATGCAGAAGATGCGGGTTTGAGCGTCCCTTGGAGAGCAAGGAGATCAAACCAATCAGTCCTAAAGGAAATCATCCCTAAATATTCATTGAAAGGACTGATCCTGAAGCTGAAGCTCCAATACTTTGGCCACCTGATGTGAAGAGCCAACTCATTGAAAAAGACCTGATTCTTGGAAAGACTGAGGGCAGGAGGAGAAGGGGGGTGACAGAGGATGAGATAATTTGGATGGCATCATTGACTCAATAAACATGAGTTTGAGCAAACTCCAGGAGACAGTGAAAGACAGGGAAGCCTGGCATGCTGCAGTTCATGGGGTTGCAAAGAGTCGGACACAACTGAGCAATTGAACAAGAATAGCAAAGGAAGAATATAATCTAATCCAAATATATCTGGAGACATTAGTTGTGCAGTGTGCTACTTTTCCAAAGATGTGCATACCTGGAGATTGTTTGAGCAACAGTTGATCACCTACTGAAGCTTGTATTATGTACCAAAGAGAATTTTTAAAATATGTAAGTAAACCTCTGCCCTAATTCCTGGTCTAAGAAGGGGAATAGACATGTAAAAGAATAGTCGTTCCACATTGTAAGATGTTCTCCGTCACACAGTGGAAGGAGTGATGTTCTGCCTTGGATGAGGTGCAGGGGTGAAAATCAGGAGAGGCTTACACAAAAGTGACAGGTGAGCAGGTCTTGAAGGATAAATTTAATAGAAAGACTCAGGAAGTACAGGCACTCCCCAGCAAGTACTGAGGCAGAGAAACAGCAGGAAACAAGAGCAGTGAATTAGGGCAGTAATTGTACAATGAAACCTAACTGATTCCAAATGGCTTCAGAATGAAATGCGAAAAGGGCAGAGGCAGAAGATGAGGTTGCAGAGAACAAATTATGCAGCATCCGCACACGATCCTCTAAGCAACGCGCACTTCATCCTGTTGCCGCAGTCTTCATCTTCACTGAGTGCAGGAACCAAGCCAGTGGTGGTCACCTTTGGAAGAGTAGCTCCAGTCAGGGAAGAGGGAGGTGATTGGAAAGGAGCCTTGTACTTGTGAAGTTCTGGCGAGGCTGGCTGGCTTGTTTCAGGCTGTGGTTATATGGCTGTTCACTTTCTAATTATTTATTAAATCCTTAAATGTCTATGATTTCAGTACTTAATGTGAGCTATCCATCTCAATTGTAAAAGAGTTTTCTTTTTAATCAAACTGGGTAATTTGTTGAAAACACAGATTCTAGGGCTTCACACTCTGAGTGTAAGGCCTGGGACTCAGGAATCTGCATTTTTTAAACAGTTAGTTTAGAGCATCTGAAGCCAAAAGGGACCCTGTGACCACACTTTGAGAACACTGCTGGGACTCTTGTGAAGTCATCCAAGAGGTTTAAGCAAGAAATGAAGAACACAGACTTGCCTGTCCGAATGGCTGGATTAGGGAGAGGAGTACGTTGAGGATGGCTTCCATCTTGTACCCAATAGTACTTGCAGGTCCTATATCCCATTCCCTTTGTGGTTTTGAAAAAAAATGTGACAAATAAGGTGATGATAATATATAAGTACTAACTGCATTTTTGGAGATTTTTGGGGGGGCGTTCCTTAAATATAAAAAAAATTCGACCCCAGTACAATTAATTTCACATAGTCAAATTTAACGTATGGAACAAGCCCCTTGGGTATATATTCTGGGGCAAGGAGCAACTTTCTAGAATTTTTTAAATGA